GTTTCTGCTGTTTTGTGCAGTGATAGTAGCAGGTAACTGCATGCTTGTCAAATTATGTGAATAAACGAATTCATAACATTGCATTTTTCTCTCCATGCAAGGAACAAGTAAGATGTTGTAGAAAATGTAATAGAGGGCTGCATTGCTGATTTTGCACTTTATCAGAGCTTTATTTAGAATTGCTTTCCTGAAAGCTACACACAGGCCACAGTACTGAAATTCACAATGTCATAGCTTTTGGCAGAAAAAAAAGAAAAGACTTACCTAGGTAAAATTGGCTGAAAGTATGGCAGAGCAGGTCTTGATGCGTATGCCCATCCGTGTGCTTGCCGAAGCCGAACTGACTGCAACACATTAACTCTGACCCACCATGGTGGCTGGCATATCCTGAACTTTCACCACTCTAAACAAGACAACTTTTAGCCCTCAGCATTGTATTAAAACACTGTACATGACACTCAAAATTTGTTTCAGTGCCATCCACGGACAACATCAGTCGCCATTCACCAGGCCAGTAAAAACAGAATAGATAATAGCTTCAAACCCATGTAGTCAGAGTTACTAGGTCTGCACCTCAAAACAAAATCCAGGTGACATTCACCACGCCAGTAAAAAACAGGTACTTAGGTAACGTAACAGCTTCAAATCTGGTAACATGTTGGTCGGACTTTACACTACCATATTTACATGGAATAATATGATACCAAACAATAGTGCAACCATTCTGGATAACAAAAGTGTATGATAAAATTAATTTAGAAAACTTTGGCAGCATGATTTACGAGCACAGGCAGGTGTTATCTACCAGCCTTCTCAATGCTCGTAAAACCAACATTGTGGTTTTGATTTTACCTTACATGATAACACACTTGGCTGCAATGGCACATTTAATTTAATACTGTGAAAAGACCAGTTATAACCACTTCACAAGCACAATTGCACCTCATGCCGACATCCTTTACCAAAGACAGTCAGCAGCGTCTTTCGTCAAAACTGGATGATCAATCCCCTTCAACTGTTAACATCAAAAATATTTCTTCATGGTGTGATCTCCATATGGAAACCTTGCAGGAAAAGAATTAATGTCAATTGTCAGCTCTTCAAAATTTCTTTGGACTTTAACTTGGAGTACCATATCCAGTTTGCTTTGATATTTTGTTTTTTATTCCATGTTGAAGTTGAACACCAAGCTCCAGATACCTATAGCAGGCAGCTTGATCATCTTCGGCCTTGGTATAATATCAGTCCAAGTTCCAGTGGTGGGTATCTTCTAATATTCAAATTAAAATGAAAAGCAATAGGCTTTCTCAGCGCCGACGACGGATTTCACGTTGATAACAAAGGGAGCTCAAGGTCAGCAAAACTCGGGTTCAAGGAATGGCGGGCGTTGAAATGACTGCTGACGTCATCAAGAAACCGCTAATGGTTAAGAGATAGGGACTAAGCTGGTCCCACCCTGCAAGTAAAGGGAAGAAATTTCTTGAACACCATAAAGCTGCGGGGGTTGCGACCAGGATAAATGGTGGTTTCTGAGCCTGGCCGCAAACTTGGCTATCTCAACTCAAAACTAATGTTAAGGTGGGATGGTCCCTTTAATTGAAGGTGTTCCGCCGCTACTGACTGCCCAAGGCGCAAATAGGCCTGCCCAGCCCGGATTTGATCTTGGGAGCGGACATTAAAATAAAGGGAGCAGATAAAATACTGATGGACTGCTTGAGTTATTGTCATAAAATAATGGCATTGTAGTACTAATAAATTATTATTTGAATTTAGACGAGGGTTTTGCTTTGTCATTCAAAACACGCCTCGAGTGGACTATTAATTTCGTTGCAGTGTTTTGTTGGAAACTCTTCCGCTTTTCTGCAAACACTGCGTGGGTGCGTCGTTCCTGGCGCAAACATTCACTCCCTGCATTCACTCGTGACGGCCTTGCACTCGTGTTGTCAAGGTATATAAAAACACTGCGTGTTGTGATTCGCGTGCTGCAAGAGTGGGCAATTTAATTTTATTTTATTTAACAAAAAAACAACATTCATTTGGAAATAATGTAATTTTTATAAAATTAGACCTTGAGTTCACATTCTTTAGCCGCCGTAGCAATGCATATTCCTCAGAGCTTTGGTCAGAATGCATGTCGCTGCAGCGTGTGTGGTTCTGGGGCTCAAGCTGTGAATCTAATACAAATAAGTCAACTGCTCAAGGTAAGTGAAGTATGTATTGGTGAAACCAGAGTCATTGTTATCAGTGATTTGTGACAGTATAGGATTAAGCAATAGTTGACTTGGGACCATGGCAACATGACATCAATTTGCGGTGAACTCAATGGATCACTTCAGTTGCCATAGTTAAAGGATACACTAGGTGTGCTATGCTAGTTAAACATGTTGGAGGGTTTTCCATGTAGTCCCTCTGAATTACTGCCCATCACCAAAGGATTCATTTCAAATTCATACATATAAGTTACGACCAATGTCACACAACACCGGTGACACGTCCTGTAGGCGTTATAGATTATATGGATCGCTGATTTTCAAATGCCTACTTAGGTCGTTCTTTGCATTGTTGATCACTCTGTGTAAAAGTATACATTAAGTCCGAGTGACTGTTAAAAGATTAAGTTTTCATATTCTTACATTATTTGACATCCTGAATCCAAAAATGATACTTATATGTCCTGGAAATAAAAGAAAAACATAATCAAACCTGACCTAACCTTACCTATTCACCTACAACCTACCAACCTACAACCTACAAACCTACAACCTAACCTACAAACCTACAACCTAAAACCTGTCCTAAAACCTACAAACCTACAACCTAACCTAACCTAACCTAAAACCTAAAATTTTTGCTGTTACATAGTTGTATCAACAGCGTCACAATTGTCCACTCGGACCTAATATATACTAATACCTCACTCTTTTTCACATTTTGCTGGGAGTGTCTGTAAATTATTAAAAAAGGCAAAAATAGATTGATGGCTTAACTGCATTCTACATAGGCCATCTCGGTTTTATCCTGTCCTGTGTCTTTTAAAAAGACATGATGAAATTTTATAGGATGAAGTGTGAGTTGTACTTCAATTGAAATAATTGCAGGCCTGTAGTAGGTGTTATGTGATGCAAGCATTATGCTTCCAGAAAGCCAAGCTTTCACTTGAATTACTGTTCCATTGAATTATTAGGTACCTATTCAAGGGATTGCAGTAGCAGTAGTATCGATTGTAGGCATTAAATCACTTACAATGCTTTTTAATTACTGGCTCTTTACCAGGTCTGTCATGTCTGGTGCCTACATTTCTTCTTATTGTCAAAAAGTCTTTTGGTCCATGTATTTAGGCTTATATTTATCATTGTGGAAGTGGCTCTGGAGAGCTTCAAGCCACTTTCTATGCATGTTTGACAAAAATGGCTGTCACACATTGATATGAGTGTATTCAATGAAACCACAGGAGAGTGCACAGTGGTACAAATCGAAGGTAGAGTGGGCCTTGGAAGGCCCCATCCGCCTGGAGAGTATCTGCAACAGCTGTGATCGGCTTGTGAAGACTGCAGACCATCTCAATGTAAGTGGGGTTAACCGTTGTCTTTCTTGCTGTCTTTACTTTCAAGCACCAAGTATTTCAAGTATATTGTGCTTTTACTTTATCTTTACCTGTGCTGTGCCTTGATTGCCATCATTCATCGGCATGACAAATGTATCACCATTATCAATGTTTCTTGAAATATCCACAGAATGAGCTGGCTTCCACCTTGACCACCCTGCAGCAGAAGCACAGCTCTCTGCAGCAGGCAGCAAAAGATAGCGACTCTGAAGAAGTGACAGGAACTGTGATCAGTCAAAAGCAGACTGTGGACACTGTGCAACAGGAGCAGGTAATATACTACACGTGATGGAATAAATATTTAACCGTGTACTCCAGTCCAAGCTGTTCTAAAATAATATAATTGGATAATATATATTTTCTTCAGTGAAGTTTTGTACAGTTTGAGCAGTAAGCATGTCAGTTGTCTGCCAAGTGCCGGTCAAAGTGAACTTTGTACAAAGAGCTTCTGTTTTAAAGGATTATCTTATACTCATTGTCTTCGCCCAAGCATCAGTTGACCAACCCCCTCCTCCCGGCAGGCATCCGGCCGGCGTGTTGGAGCAGATGACGTCCTCATCACCATCTGGACGGATCGCCGCCTCTCCTCCCGGCCCGAGCCCCAGGTGGAACAGAACTCCGCAGTGGTGGTGGACTCTGACTCGTCGGTAAAGCGCACTGATAGTGAATCTCAGACGCTGGGAAAGGAGGCTGAGGAAGATAAAGCTGCCATTGCTGGACGCTCGGCTACGAAACGGACACGAAAGGTAACTGGTCACAGTCAGCTGCTTTTGAATGACTTGAATAAATCCGTCTCTCGTGTCCACTTTCAGCACCTGAATATGTAGAGTGGTAATCTTTGGTTAATTCATTTCATTTGCCCTTGAGCATGGTTTTGATACCTTGCTTCAATCCATTTCAGACGACGGTGCGCCTCTCTTGTGATGTGTGTCATCGGTCCTTTGGCACCGTGTCAACATTGGCCCGACACAAGAGGCGAGCGCACAAGAACAACGAAGATGATCACGGCAGCCTCGCGAAAGACAGTGCTCGCCATACAGGCTCTTCACTGCAAGAGGAGCGTAATTCAGCTGTTGCCAGGCGAGGGGACAAGGATGTAGAAACAGTTATTAGCCGAAGGAAGAAGAGTGCAGCTTGCAAGTTTTCGACAGGGGATGATTGCGAAGAACACCAAACCCTAACCGCTTGCGATAACGTCAGGTCCCCTCTAGCTTCATCTTCTCATGCGGAGAGAAGTCGCCTGCAGCCGCGTGATTTGGGACTCGTGGCACGCAATCCTTCCGTTGCAACGTCAAGTGTGGTTGCTTCTCATGCTGCTGGAAGTGTTTATGATGAATCACGCTCCAAGGCAAACGAAAACTCGACGAGAACGGCGATGAAGGCCGGGAATACCGAGGTCGGGTTCACGGATTCAGGGCCAGTACAGGATCCTGCTAGCAAGGATCAATCGTGGTTCCAGCCGGATTCTCCTGGTCCTCGCGATCTACGGACCCTTACACCCCATCATGAAATGTCCGAAATGTCGCAGTTCCCTGCACCTTTGCTCACTGAATCTACAGAGACAGTTGATGAACCCGTGTTAAGTCGGCTCCTCCCGGAAACTGCATCGGAACTCCTTGGCGACAAGGACAGTTCCTTGGAGCATACCATTTTCCCTTCGCTCGCCACGTCGACCACTGCTTTTGGCACTGAGGCAGCGGAGTCATCTGCCACTTCAGGCGTGAATGAGCCCATTGACATGGGAACAGACAGCCAGGAGCTTACCATTGCTTTTGATACTGGCGTGGAGCCACCGCCCTCTGGGACAGATACTCAGCAGTCTCAGCAGAAATCCTGCCCCACTTCTGACACCAAAATAAAGCGAAAGGCCGACTCTGAAGCGACCATCAGTTTTCGTCATAGCGTCACAGGAGGTAAACCGCCGAAACTGCGAAGAAGAATGACCAAAGACACGGAGACCGAGTCTGAGGATAGCGAGGAGATTGTGTCATCGCCCTCTAAACGGAAAAAGAAATCCACCGGCCGCCGCCGGTCTCGGCAGACGATGTACGAGAGGCACGGAGAGAAGTGGCGGTGCCTGGAGTGCTCCGCTCTCTTCAACACCAGAGTGAGTTGACTACCGAGGTGGTGCAGTGGACTAATGCAAATATTTATTGTGTTTGTTGGTAGAGATTCATTGAATAGTGCGTAGCCTGCCTCTTGCCGTTTTTATCATTTGTTTCAATACCTGAAACGCTGAATTTTGTGGAATTTCCTCCAAATAATATAATATACATTTCCCAAAATGGTCGCTTGCTTATGCTTTCCATACTGCTTGAAAATAATGTTGATGATAGATTGATTTCTAATGCGCTGACTTTTGATGATCCTGGGTCCACGACAGGCCTTCCGTTCACTACCCCACCTCCTGTTTACAGACCGGCGCGCACGGCCACGCGCTGACCCACACGGAGCCGGACGGCGGCCGCTGTCCGCGTTGCGGCAAGACCTACGCCAACGCGTACGCGCTGCGCCGCCACCGGGCCGGCTGCCTCTCCGGACGGCCGCCCTCCTGTCCCGTCTGCGGGAAGGTTGTGGCCGACCCGGCGTACCTGGCGCACCACGTGCTGCTCCACTCGTCAGGCGCGCCCAAGAAGCACCAGTGCGACCGCTGCGGCCTGGCGTTTGCGGGGCCGTCGCGACTGCGGGAACACATTGCGATGCAGCACAGCGGCGCTGAGACGTCGCACAAATGTGACGTCTGCCAGCGGGAGTTTAAACTGCAGCATCACCTGCGGCGGCACTACCGTTCCGTCCACACCACTGAGCCGGCGGTGACGTGCGATGTCTGTGGGAAGGGGTTCAAGCGCGCCGACCACCTGCGCGCGCACATGACCGTACACACGGGGGCGCGGCCGTTCGTCTGCGTCCAGTGTGGACGGGGCTTTACCCGGGCGGACACCCTGGCTGACCACACTAGGCTGCACACGGGGGAGAAGCCGTTCAAATGTGCCGAATGTGGGCAGGCGTTCAGGGAGCATCGCGGATACAAACGCCACCTGAAGACCAAACATAAACCGGCAGATGGGGATGAGGCGGGACCGCTGACGATGAGCTTGTAGTGGCGTGGAGATTCGTAAGGCCGCCCAGTGTCGTATGAGAGGTATTTTGGCAATATTTATTGTGCACCTTTCGATGGGGATAGTGGAGCTCGATTGTTGCATGTGAAAGCTGTAAATGTATTTCGATATGTCTTTATATCACCATTGAAGTTGATATGTCATGCTTTGTGTGATTACTGTATTGTCATCTTTTCGGAATGATACGAGTATTTAGAATAACAGTTCTGGCACCGATAAAGACTAATCTTAATCGTTTCGGCTGGTTTACCGATCTCTTCCAAGCTGTATGAATACAGAGCATTTGACTGATCTCGACGATCCCGGAGCGTTGTGCTTGTGTGGCGTACTTATGGAAAAACATTCAAGCATTCTCTATAGATGTGCGTTACTGATTGTGGTATGCTGTCATATGACAATGTTCTCGTGCTTTCAAAGTAACCACAAATCCAATAAATGTCTGAAGGTTGATTACATATCATTATGCAGTTGTTTCCATTCCGTGCTATTCAGTGATAAAACCAAGTGACGACAGTGGCTTAGCTTGTCCATGTTGCAAACATTACGTGGTTTTGGAGGGATTCGTGAACGTTTATACCTTTGAAGCTGTATACTCGTAAGGTCAGCTGACTGGTCACGGCTACCTGGTTCGAGTGGAATTGGAGTCAAGTGTCCAGTCTGACGCCAGCTCATCACTCAACGGGTTTCGGTTTCCATACTATACGAGCACGAAAACACGTGGCTCATTCTGCCGACTGAGTTTGGTTGTCTTGCTTTCTTTGCGCTGATGGCTCATTGCTAGTTATGTCTCGTGTTTGGTAACATGTCGAAGTCCGCATCGATTTCCATATTTGTCTCTAGCTTTTTCTGGCGTTCCGGCTTTCTCACGCTTCTGAATTTATTTTTGGACCTTGGCTTCTAAATACCGATGAAACGATCAGCAACTTCAATAAAGCTAGATTTATGCGGTAGCAAACGTTCATTCTTGAGATACAGCAGTGTCGCCGTCATGTCCATATCCGCCTCGGCTCCGACGCGCGTGATGTCGACGCTGGGCCGTGACGTGATGCCCGGTGACGCCGTGCTCGACTGTGACGCCAACGACGTTCAGGAAGACGAGGTGGCAGAGCTGGTGGCCCTGTACGCCGACACCTGCGCCCTCCCCTGCGAGACCATACTGTTCCTCGAGGTGAGTAAGCAAGGATGCCGAGTCTCTGAAGTCTCAACGTTTGTGTTGCAACTAGTCTTTGGGACAGACATGTTGGCGACGTATTTTAATCGCCTGTAACCTACAATCATCGTTTTGTTATATCGTCACCCGTTTGTTAGTTTTTCATACTGACTTTTTATCCACTACCTTTAGCTATGATCAGGCTCGTGGGTTCTTTCATTCCTCTGTATCGTTTTAATCGGATCGCTTGTTGGTGCTTGCCAACAAGTTCCCCTGCGTTTTCCTTACCGTTTTCCTGTGTTGCAGGAGAGCGTGCTTCCTGTGCTGGGTGACGCATTCCGCGCCCTCGTCATCGAGATCCGTCGCCAGCGGTCTGTGGAGCGCGCCTACTCGCGTCTGAACGCGCTCGACTTCCTCACCTCGCACCTGTACTCCAACAACCCGCTGCACCCGGACAGACCGCCCCACGACGACCTGATGCACCCGGACAGACCGCCCCACGACGACCTGATGCACACGGAGCTGGCGGCGCGCCTGCTCAAGTGCCGTCCGCGCCGGCCGCTGCCGCTGTGTCTGCGGCTGACTGACGAGCGGGCCGCCTCCGTGGTGCAGCGCTGGTACCGCGGCTACCTGGTGCGCAGGAGGACGGACGTGGCGCAGCTGAGACAGTACCAGGCGCGTCTGAGGAGACTGGCACGGCAGGAGGGGGCGCCGACGGGACCGGTCGGACCCCAGCGACGCTCCGGCCGAGCCTGTCGGTAGGGAGGACCGAGACCGGAGGGACCTCAGAGACTGTGCCTGCCGCTAGCGAGGACAGGGATCGGTGGGCCCTGCGAGATCGCACCTGCCGCAAAGCGACTAGGAACAGAGGGACCTCAGAGGCCGTGCCTGCCGCTAGTCGGAATCGCCGCCGAGAAGTGATGCTCCGTAGGGCGCTTATTAGCCTACAGGAGCTGAACCTGTCGCTTAAAAAATCACGAACGGTGTCCTTCTGAATAAAGGATGCAGCGCAGTGAGCGAAAGGCAGGCGTGGAAGGCGATGAGCGAAAGGCGAGGAAGGACTGAGCTTGAAACATTGCCGACTGGTACTGAGCGGAGCAGTGAACAGTCTCCCTCGATTATCAGTCATGGTGTCATGATGTGACGATTGAAGAGTTCTTTTCACATCTTAGTGAATTACATGGTTCGCTGTCTGCAATATAGTTTATTTGTCCCATGCACATTGGTTGATATGGCTTCATTTTCCGTCTATTGACGGGTTCACTCATATGGAATGGATCGTTTAGCTTAGGTACTAAAATAATTTAAAAGGGTCTAAACCACTCTCCTTCTCTATATAAATTCCTATTCTAAAAAGGTTCAGATGAAAGCACGATGACATACGTCCTTACGTCCTTCTAACTGTACCCACAGCTGTCAATCACCATTAATGACCGCATTACCGCGCTACCCTCCCAGCACGCCCCGGGTCACCCCGCGGTGCAGACGCGGTGCATGTCGGCATGCACTGCTGAGTGGGCCAGTGGGCCTCTGCAGCCCGCCGTCTCGGCCCGGGCCGTCTCGATGGGACTTGTTCGCCCTCCCCGGGGGTCAGATGTGTCCGCCGCCCGCAGTAATTGTACCGTAACTGCGATGTCGTATAGCTCGGGAGACTGACCTGCCCCCGAAACTGTGCAGAAGCGCTAACAGACGGCCGGCGGCGGCGGTCATACGGTCACTCATACGGGCTTCAAATTGCCTAGTTAGAATCAACTGCATGGTGCATGTTTCTCGGGCATGGTTAGAGCTAAATCAAATCACGGAAGGGTAAACAAAAATAGGGCGAGGAATGGACGAGTGGACGGCATGGTGTAGGTTTTTGACCTCACATGACCTCACTGCCACGAGCCAGGTCTGTGAACCCGTCACCGTGTCCAAGCGAGATAACCGTAATTAGCAGCAGTCTTGTCTCATATCCATCGCCTGTGCCAGGCGGCCAAACCAGAATGTCAGGTACCGCGGCCAATTTCCGCGTTGTTTTCTTTATTTGATGGTATTTCATTTCGGTGCAGCGGTCCGGCAGAGGGTCGGGTAGAATTTGGCAGCCATTCAGCCGCGGTGGTCTGTGTTTAGCGCTCGCTGGCGAGGTCTGATGACGGGTCAGCTCCAGTTCATGTTTCTCCGTGATGTCAGTAACGGTAGTGGGCCGGACGATGTTGGACCCGTGCCATAACGTCATATAATCTGCCTGCACCGTTCTAATTCCGGTCAATGCGACCGGTGGTTGTTATGCGTTTGTATCAAGAACATATTTACCTGTCCACACTCACTACACTGCCTACGATACATACCTATATAGGGATTGTCAAGGGCTGTATCTTGGGAAGGTGTGGCATCGTGTTGCACGAAAGTTTATATCGTTACCTACATCGTAACGATATAAATTAAATGTTTGAATACTTTGTATTCGCGAAAAATCGCACCTGTATACCTATGCAATTAGCTATATCGCACATCGCTGTCACTTTCTGTTTAACTTATCTCTTTGTTTTCCGTCGACGACATGACTGGACGGTGGATATGCGTCATTTGCATATTCCAAACGTCTATCGAATCTTTCGGTATATCACGAACTACAATCATGGGGTGAAAGGGAAAGCGCTCATAAATGACAGACATCAGCAGGCACTGTGAGCTTGTATTCGTGAAAGGGCGGCTTTCGGCTGCCACTGCTGGCCTGGACAGGATGTCACACACAGACCACTTTCGCTAACCCGGTTTGGCTGACCTGAGCCTGACTCATGGTTATTGGTCCTATACGAACATCAGGTGAACTGAAGTAGCAATTGGCTGAAGTAGCAATTGGCTGCGACAAGCGTGTGCTCTTATGAGTTCTGATATCCGACGGAATAAGATGAAACCTTGGCTGAATGAAAAGTTAATTGCAGTTTTACGGCTTTTTTAGCAAAACATTTTCCTATAATGTCATGTTATTTAATAGTACTTATTTCGGTTTAATGCCTTTTCCCACAGATTATCGTTTACTTAGACATACGGGCACAGGTAATGCTGCATTAAAATTGGCTTTAGATGCAAGTTCTCGTTTCGTCTTTTCGAGTCGTCCACAGGACTGGCCGGTGTCGCCGACCGGAAGGTTCTTGGCTCGTTCCAGTGACGGCCGTTTAACCCGCTTTCTTCCAGTCTTCCCTGGACTCGCTGTTATTTATTGGACATGATAATATGTCGCCTGATTGAGCTATTCCGTCCGCAGCGGTGGCCTCACTTGACCTCTGGGTCACCCACCTGACCTCTGCTTCATTCGCACCGGTCGTAGGGGTCAGATTCATATTCGCAAACCATGTCTGATCGTCTCAAATGGCGTGGAACGTTCAGTTCAAAGTCGCCGGCCCGACTAGTGCGCCAGTTTCGCCACGCCCCCGCCGCGACTGAGGCCACCGGAACTGCGGCTTTTGGTGGCTCTCTGTCGACTAATTTGTTCCACTTTCTTGGCGCCGCTGTTGGCTGAAAGACGCTTCTCGGTGCGGCAGCCGCCCTCTGCCAAACGAAACCGGTGGGGATTCACCGTCAGAAGAGGTCAGCTCAGGTCAGGCCACTGAGCGCTTCTGCTGTGTTCTGTGCTAAGCTCGACAAATGAAACACCGTTTGTGTCTTAAACTTTCAAGGTTTCTCTCAGCATGTGGCGCTCGGCATTCGACATGGACAGTGGGCACTTATTTCGGTACATATTTATTCAAACCCCCGGCGCTGCCATACAATTTCCTCGACCACGATATCTCCGCCCCAGTTAATTTTCCCGCCTCGCTGTCTAGTTTTCTGCTGCGAGCTGTCTGGAGGGGAGAGCCAACGCGCGCGGCGGCGACTTCAAAGCACGTCGAGGTTTCTGAGAATAGATGTCAAACGAGTGTGACTGAACGAGGCTGCATTGACGCTGGCATTCGACACTTGAGAAAGAAAGGAATGCTTGTGACTGCAATGTGCATGAAGTCGTGATGGATGAATTTCCATACATGTTTGGCAACCCTCTCTCCTGGTTTCCAAGAAGTCCACTCCAGTCCCTTCACGGTAGAGTGGTCAGCTCGGTGGCATTTCCTGCGGCCCGGCCGTCTGACCTGACCTGCATCAGCTGACTGAGCGGCCATCAGCTGACGGCCAGTCGGGTCACGTGACCGGCCGGCCCTGGCCGTAACTCATGGCTTGCTGCTCGCCCGGCCGTCATTATCTTTCCCCGTCGCTCGTTTGATGGCGCATGTCAGGGCGATGGGCTCACTCTAAGTCGGTAGTTTCGCGGTGCGAATCTGGGTCGGGTCGGGCTGTGACCCGATCGACCGCGGGTGACCTCGGCTGACCTCGTCTGGGCAGGTCGGACCGCGCCGACCCTGCCGGCTGGAAAATGGACTCCAGCTGAGAGACAAGATTGAATGGGGTTTTTGTTTATGCTATGCACGCACGTGATGGGTGTCGCTGACCGGCAATGATGGTTAGCGCCAAATGCCCGAAGACTGCTGTTGATTCCTAATAGCTGATCTGATAGAACGGTGAGACTACTTGCCAGCGATAAAATGAAATAAGATTAAAGGAAAAGTGCCACCTTCGTGAAATATGAAGGTATCGTTGCTTTTCATTTTGACATTATTATTTTTCATGTTATTTTTAAATCTGGTGCCAGAAGTGCATAATTCGCAAAAAAGTATGTCAAATTATTTAACATATTGGTACTATGTTTGTACTCTCTACCGCACCTTCTGTATGATGTCATAGCGATGACATCACACTCAAGCCAATCAGCCTTCAGAAGACAGTCTCGTCGGCTTGTGTCAGATTAGCTGATTGGTTAAAGCTGAGCTGATTGGAGCTGATTGGTTAAAAACCAAAGCTTTGCCGCGGGTGGCTGTATTACAGGATAAGAACGCATTCCTGGGATAAGGACGCATTCCTGGCATATTTTCTTTTAAAATTGCCGATGCCTACAAATGGAGGCCGAAATCGGCCGTAAGGTGGGACACTCTCGGGGTTTTCGGACACGGGCTACAAGATGGCCATCTCAGTTTCAAACCCCATGTTAAAGGTGACCCTTTTCCTTTAACCCGCGCCCTGATGGGGTCTGCCGAGCAACGCGGTCTGATGGGGGAGGAGGCCGCCCCTAAGGTCTCGAGAACCACGCAACATAACGACAAGCGGCAAACGGCGTTGGATAGCCCCAACAGGGCTATCCAAACCTTGTGACCCAATTTCATTGACCTCGGTCTAACGTCACAGGTCAGGTCAAAGGTCGAATTGTCACCGTTTAGGTACAGGCATTTCAAGAAATGCGTTGTAAAATCGAGTAAAATGCTTGTCATTGAAAATCATCGATGGGGAATTGTCCGTAAAACACATATTTTGCTAATTGAGGTCACTGATACCAGGTCAGGTCACAGAGGTCAGGTCACTGAGGGTCAAAATATCATGTGATGCATGTTTTATGGTCCATTTTACATGACAAATGCGATTATGTGGGTCAGGCAGCCTTTGGGGCCAGTTTAGGTTATGTTCTGGTGAAGTTCAGGTCAAGGTCAGGTCAAATAAGGTCAAATTTTAAACTTGATATTTTTGCATAAAATGGGTGTCGATTCGCTGCAGCTCGTCACGGGGAGTCTAATGGGGTCTTTGTTTTGCGCTACGTGATCTAGAATTGCTAAAAATTGAGTTCAAAACTTTGACGTCATCAATTTTGAACATTTCTTTCGCTATAACTTGGCCAAAAAAGGAGGTAGGTATTAATCTGAAATACGGTATGTAGATGGAAGAGCACAGGGACTATCACATATATTCTGGTTTTCGAAATTCGAAATTTTTATGGGAATTTTTTTAGTTTCTAAAAGATTATTTTTTTTTATTTTTGGGGTCGAAATCCCACAATTTTGAAAATCCGAGACAGCAGTTTTTTAACGCCGTCTTTTCGCTACACGACCACATAAAGAACTTTAAAATTGCTTGTTAACTGTAGATTTGGTGAGCGTTTCAAGATGTCATGTTTTTTGCTCATTTTTGCTCGAACATGACCTCAGTTTGACCTAAATAACTCCTGACCCAAGGTGAGCTGTGACTTGAAATTTTGTGTGTAGGTGTCAAATTGATGCCCGGGAAGATGCTGAAAATTTCGTGGCGCTGCGCCCCGCCATTTTCTCGCTATTTAAGAAAAACCACGGGGGGGTCAAAATGACCCCCATCAGGGCGCGGG